CCTCCAGCAATCGAGGCAGGCATCTCAGAGAAGGCTTCATGGTCATCTCCCTCCACAAATTGGGTTCAAGACTCAAGACTTTGTTTTTTTTGCACCAATGAGGTTGTCAATCAAATGCAAGGCTGTTCAAGCTTTCCTGTTTGAATGAAACCCGCTGCAGCAACACGTGCAACAATACAGCATGTCAGGGTATATAGTGTGAATGCTTTTGTGGGTTCTTGACAACATGCCCTGGTCCATCCTGAATGGCAAATAGAAGGGCTTCACTGGACAACACCTATAGAAGAGCAGAGTCAACTCCTACCATAATGAAAGGGCTCTTTGGTGGTGAAGCGACAGTTGAAAGCACTCCCGACAGAAATGCAATCACCTGCTAGATTTTCAAGATGTCAGTGTTCCCTGTGAAGACTCCAAAGAGTGTTATTTCCGTGCCACTGTTAGTGGGCTTCCAGGCTAGATGGACAGGGTTCCAGCCTATTTGAGGAGTTGCTTGATGGGTCTTGACTACTCTAAAGCTCGCGGAGGCAGTGCCACCAGAGCCTGTCCAAGAGGCTGAGGAGGTGAGCCTTGAGCTTGTTAGGTATCCCAAGCCCTGGAGCTTTGTACGGTAATGCTTATTAAATATATGGTGGCCTGGCCAGAGCCATCGGCTCCGGAGGTAGTATAAAATACTTGTTCCCCCCGTATATTTATATAAAATGTAATCCCTGTTGGCGTTTCTTTTACGAAAAGGGAGAGCTTGAGGCCCTTACAGAGGGGCCATGTTGTAACGAGGCAGTTTTTGGCACCTACAGAACCCGATTTTTGTAGAGAAATAACTTTATGCTTTCTGCCCAGCAACTAGGTCGATCTAGCTTTTCAATCACTCTCACAGGAAGTAGAACTCATCAAGGACTCTTACTTACTACTTTCAGGGCTGCAGGTTGTATGGGGAGGTGCCACCACCAAGACCACCGAGACACCAAGACCGGACCACCAAGGCCACCGGGACCACCAAGTGTGAAATATAGGCACCCTATGCAATCGTTCGAGCAACCACATATCGTTTCGTTCGATCACTTGGAAGGTTCGGTCGCGGTTGCACACACCGCTTTTGACCATGGTGCGCTACGGCGCACAAATCGAGAAGTGTACCAAAGTGCCATCCGTACCGGTTGGCTCAAGGGCGACGCAAAAAGGAGTTGCTTCGCTTGGGAACGGCGGCCCGCGTGTCGACTAATCGCAGTCGAGCACAAATCGAGAAGTGTACTTCATTTGTTCTCTTTTCTCTGTGTTCGCTTTGCAGTTGAGGTTGAACTCTAAAAGGTGTGAGTTCTCATATGGTAGCGGAGCTCCTGTAAAGGAGCGTAGGACAGCAAGTTTTCTAGGTTTGTTCACAACCTCACATCCGTAGAGATTGAGAGCCATGGATGAATCTGGAACTGGAAATGCTGGTCCTCCCCGAGAACGATCCAGAGAACCTCGAGGCCGATCAGTGTCTCGACATGCAGGGCAGGACAATCGCCCTGGAGGAGGGAGTTCGAGTCAAAGACGCCTAGCATTTCTTGAAGATCAAGTAGCTCATCTAGCCGGCACCCTGAGCAGTTTAGGACCCGTCCTTCAACAAGTGCTAAGCCTTCAGACGAATCCTCAAGCTGGTGTTTCGAGTCAAGCACAAATGCCAATCCCACCGGCAACACAGACACTTCCTCCGGAGAATGTTGCAAATCCGCCCGTGCAGCCGATCTCAACCGGAGCCGAAACTCCATTCGCCCAGCCTAGTCAGGTGATTCAACCGAATGTGGATAATCCGAATGCAAACACACCGACCCGCCGGACACCCCTCGGCATCTCGACAGGATCACTTCCGAATGATCCTTGGGTGAACCAAGACCCATGGCAACAATATCATAATAGTTCAGCCCAAGCCGCAGGAATTCCGGATCGCCCCTTTCCGTACAGCATGGCCAACAGTCCAGACCAACCACAACCATTTGCAAGTCAGTCATCCAATCAGGGTTTCAGCCAGGTTATCCCTCCACCGCCCGGGTTTCAGAATGTGAATCCACAAATGATCCCAATCCCTGTTAACACTCCTCAGAAATCAGCTCAAGAGATTGGTGGACAGAATGATGAAAACCCGTTCAAGAGATCAGAAAGGTGGATGCCACCTGTGCCAACTCCATCCTTCCAAGATTGGAAATCCAGGCCTGCTGAAATTGTGGGGTTCATCGAATGGGTCACCTCGTTAGCATCATGGACCGGACTCGGATCGAATGCATATCCCGCTGAGATTCTGTCAGCGCTTCGTGAAAGCGAGCCCTTAGGTTGGCACCGCCTGACTGCAAGCCAGGTGACACGATCCGTCCGGCTGATGTCAATACTCAAACTTTGCTTCGAGAACAGCGTCAAAGCATCTTCGGTCATTCGTAATTATGAAGAAGGAAAAGGTTTTCAGCGATGTTGTGGTTTCGAATGCCTGAGGCTTTTAGCAAAGGAGTATGCAGTGAAAACCAGAACTGAACTTCTTTTCTTCCGTTCGCAGCTTGCCAATGCATCCATCACCGGAAAGACAATTCCCGAAGCCGTGAGAAAGGTGCAATCCGAATTGTACCAATTTGAACGTGTGTCGCAGCTCGTCGATCCAGCAGTGAACGTTCGAGGATTAGAGTTCCAGGAAGCCGACAAAGTTTTGTTGTTGCTTAGATCTTTACCCAGTCAATGCCGTCAGTGGGTTGTTCTCCATGCCAAAGATGAAAGCTTCAACGCGTATCTAGAAGCCGCACTTCGATACGAATCGCAGCAAAGGATTTGGTCTGAGCTCAATGGCCAGCCGATTGCAGCTCTTGGTGACCAGAAGGGACAGTTTGTCCCGAAAGGCAAGAAAGGGAAAGGCAAGGAGAAGAAAGGGGGTAAAGATGGAAAGACCCAAGAAAATAGCGAAAAAGGAAAAGGAATTGGAAATGGCAGTGAGTCCAGGACATGTTTCCAATGCAATCAACGAGGACACCTTGCTGCCGATTGTCCCAACAAGAGTCCATTCAAGTCAAAGGGTAATTCCAATTCCAAAGGGTCAAATAAGAGTGATGGAAAGGGCAAGAAAGGATTTGAGAAAGGAAAGAAGGGAAGCCCATCCGACAAAGGAAAGTCAAAGGGAGGAAAACCAAAGGGACAAAGAGCAACTGAATTCCAGCAGCAACCAGAGTCGGAGGTAGGCAGTGAATGGTCTGAGCCGGATGTTGAAGATGGAGGTCGTTTGTCTACCTTCAATGAACAGGATGTAGCTCAACCATTCTTCATTTGTCAGAACATGCAGTCCGCAGATCCCTACCTGTGGTTGGTTGATTCCGGTGCTAGCCGAACCGTCGTGTCTCTCGATTCCCTGTCAGCATACAAAGTCCTTCGTGAACGCACATTGGCAACTCCCATCCAGTTTCGAACTGCCTCAGGGGAACAGGTTCAGATTGATCACGAATGTATGCTCGAAGTTAGTTTTCCAACAACCATTGAACATGATGAATGTGATCGCAACAAGTTGGTCAAGTATGAGATTCGAGCCGTCGTCGGTCCAGTCGAACACAACCTCCTGAGCGTTTGCAGTTTGACCAAGCTCGGTGCGACATTCGTGTTTGGACCAGATCAGTGCCATATCCGCGTCAGTGACATCAGGCGCCTGGATTGCGAAATCTGGGCAAATGTACCTTGGATCCGAGCACAGCAGCGCAAGCCTCGTGGACGAGATCAGGATGTGGAAATGAAGGGGAAACTGACCATGGACACCTGGACCAGTGAAGATTTGGACGACTATGAAAGCAGGAAACGAGCACTTTCGGCATGGTTCAACAATAAACCATTATCTGAAACAGCAAAAGATGAAAGCTCAGATGGTCAAACACCATCTAGTTCGCATGGCAAGAGCCCGAAGGTGTCATTTTTCGTTTCTGCCACTCAGTCAAAGGGGTCCATGAGTCAAGGTATGTCCTCAGGTCATGTGAAAGTTTTGAAGTTTGAAGACCACCCTGAGATCAAAACGTTCGAGGTTGAGCCGAAAGCCAATACAAATGAGCCCAATCACCGTGTTACCAGTCAAGATCATGGCTTTCTCAACGCTGCCGACCATCCGTTGCCCGCACCAGGTGATCTTGAAGATGCCATTGAGCGTCCACACGATGATAAAGAGCCTTGTCCTCCGAGCGAAGTCACCCGGTATCCAGAGTTCTCAAAGAAGGTGGATCGTGAACTGTCGTTACACCGCCGACGTGGACACATCCCATTCGACAGCCGTTGTGTTCATTGCATCAAGAGTAGATCCACTTTGCATCATGGACGAGTAAGTAAGTCAAGCAGCACACCCGTCGATCATCACATGATGTTGATTCAAGCAGATTTTTTCTTTTTAGAAGGAAATAAGTTCATTTTGCTCGTCGATGCCGGAACCGGATTGCTTGGAATCAGTTTGTGCGGTCCCAACCAAGACCAAATGTTAGCCGATTGCCGCCAGTACTTCCGACAGCTTGGTGTTTCGGACCAGTCATCCCAAACCGTTGAAGTGTTGACCGACAGCGAAGCCTTGATCGGACAGCTGCTGAGACGACTTGGTCTACCACTTCAGGTAAAGTCTGCCGCACCTCAAGCTCACGAAAGCATCGGACTTGCAGAGAGGAACGTGCGGAGGGTAAAGGAAATGACGGGATGTCTTAGGAGTGATCTTCGTCTGCGTGGGGTTGACATCACTGGAACCCCAGAAAGCTTTAGTCGATTGGTTCAGTATGTCACCCAAACGCACAACCACTTTGGTGTTGGAGGTTCGGTAGGGCAATCAGCAGGACTTGAAAATCGTCGGACGCCACTCGAGTTGCTGTTGAACAAAGATAGATCTAAGCCAGTATCAACCATGTTCGGAAGCGTCTGCCACGCCCAAGTTCCCGATTCGTTGATCGAGTTGATCCCCGAAAAGACAAGATTCATTCCAGCAGCATACATGCATGTGAAGCCCAACAGTTTGGCGCATGTAGTGTCAAGTCGCATCCAGGGATCTGAAAAGGTGTATCAGGCAGAGATAAAGCCCTTATCGGAGATCCTCTGGGACTGTTCACTTGCACCCAGCATCCTCACGGAGGTTAGCAAACCTGATCTACCACCATCACTGGAAGATCCCGAGAAGACTGTCAGGCCGTTGGACGACAAGGTAGGAGTTGATGAGCCACTTCCTTCGAATGGTCCACCACGTAGTTGGGTAAGAGAGCATGGAGCCACTCCCCAATGCGGTGCTTGTCAGTCACGACATGGTCGAAAACACACAGCAGCTTGTTGCCGCCGATACCGAGAGTGGGTCATGTCCGAGCGAAATGCATTAGCCGAGAAGCATCCTAAACCCGATGATCACAAAGAGTCAGAGTCTCAAGATGTTTCCAAGTCGAGTGAGTCCAAGCCAGATGTCATTGAATCAGCACATCCGACAGGCCGCCTTCGCTATCACCAGAAGGGACCACCTGTGAATCCGAGTGAAGCGCCTGCCGATGCGACCAATTGTCCGATTGAATCAGGTGACATGGAATACACTCCATCAGAACCGCCACAA